CAGCATTTGAAACCCTAATTCTTGGGCCCTGTGAGTGATTAACTGTTTAAGGACTTGTAGGATTGTGAAGTTTTTTTATTTTATTTTATTTTTAACCTGATCCAGGTTTTGGATACTGTTACATATTTCTTAAGTGTTTTCTATCATAAGGACTGCTTGGAAGGATATTCTCTGTACAGTAATAAAAGCTACTTTAGCTAAGTTTAATTAATATTTAAGGACATGTGTTTATCCAGATTCAACTCTCTGATTCAGTATTTATAGAATCTACCCTGGGCCTGTTGCTGGATATACTGCTCTGAATACCTCTATTCTTCAGATTACAGAAGACAACTATTTTTTGTAGGATTATGTCCTAAGACAAAAGGAAAAAATTACTTGGGTTAAAAAGTAACAGGCAAAAGTTATTAAACATAATGCAGGTGATGCTGTCTTTCCTACCAACTGATTTGCTCTGTTTTGAGGCCAAATTTATATGGGATGGGATGGGACAAGAGTAGAAAGCAAGTGAATCAAAGCTAACTGAAAGAATTTGAGAAGCAGTTGAAGTGTATGTAGTGAGATAATTTGAGCATCAGTCTAGCAAAGTGTCTTAGCACACTGTAAGCTTATGAGTAATTTGTGTCAGGCTTAGCAACTTAACTGTACCAACTGGTTTCTTCAAGAGCTTCTTCAAGAGGACCTAGCAGGTCCTCCTGTCACCCACCTCATGCTGCTCTTACATCATTCCTTGAGCTGCTCTCACACCTTTAACTGAGTACTGCACTTAAGAGTAACAGAGTAGAGGCTGTTTGGTCCCCTTATAACAGAAAGTATTAGTTGCATAGAAGTAAGTAGCTTAAGTAAAAACAGATTTTAAAAACAATAAATCAATCTATACACACGCCTGCCTCTGCCTAAGGGTCATAATTCTGTGTAGCTGGGAAACGCCCATCATCTTCCGACTCTTTTTCCACTGCTTCTCTTGGTGGCAGCCTGTTTTTCCACACAGGCCTTGACAATTGAGTCCCCACTCCTTTCCTAGGAATGTCTTTTTAACAGTTTAGTGTTCTTTGGAGCTCTGTGTTCTCTGCACTGTCATAACGGCAGTGTCACGTTGGCCTGGAGCCTGCAAGTGTGTCATTGTCTGCAACTGCTTCTCCTCTTGGGCCTGCGAGGAGGCTCGTGGGTTCAGTGCTGTGGTGGTGTTCTCCCCAGACATCCCCTTCCCTCCTCTCAGTATTGAATAAGATCCACGAATCTATTCATGGCACTCTTTAACAGCTGACCACTGTTGAATGCAGTCTCCCTGATACAGCCACCAGTTTTCGTGTAACTTTTACATCTTTTTGGTCTTAAGTTATTAACTTTTGTATCCCACTGAAGTTAGTGGGACGAAGTGGTATAGGAATTTGCCAGAGTGAAGAATATGACTTGAACCAGGCATGCGCTAGCAGTAATGAGGTGTCTGCATATCTCATTATGATGTACTAAAAGTAGGTTTCATGGATGGGAGGATGAGGAATCATTGAGAGAGACAGCCAGGGCAAGAACGGGTTGGGGGAAAAGTTGGGAAGAAGTTGCCAGTGGTAATTAAAAGTTTTTTGCCAGCTAACTTGAGACTATTGCCCTTACCTCAAAGGGTACTCTCTTTCTGTTCTTCTAGATTTTACAGTTTAAGTGGTAGTGACAACCTTATCAAAACACGAGGTTTAGCCTTTTTTTTTTTAAGAGGTTAGGATATTTAAATTTTAAAATTACTAAAATCCTTATTTAATGGAAGAGGTCAATCATCAGAAAATACATGCAGAAATTTCAACTGGTTTGGGATTTAGCACAGCAGAAGGCTGATGGCTGCTATTATCAATTTGCACAGGTACAGAGACTTTTTACAGATGCAGCTGTAGTTTTTCATAGTTTTCTGTGTTTCTCCTTTTTACAGGGTCATAACCTAAGTCTCCTAGTCAGTGTGCTATCTTTACATTACAAAAGAGATTTAACCTTGGAGAAGCATGATTATAGGTTGTATTGACTTCAGTGGTGCTCTGTATAACTGCGTGAATCTTCCTGCATGGAGAGCAGGATATGGGCCAGGAGACGGTGAAATGTCCCAAACCCACACAGTGAGTCAGTGATACGGTTGGAATTAGAGTGGAGGAGCTGTTCGCTCTCAGCTTTGTCTTCCGTGCATCAGAGAATGACCCTTCTCATCGGCTCCGTTCCCAGGGCCGTGAATAAACAGGCCCAAACTCCAAAGAATTCCACGAAAGCTCCCAAGGACTGTAGCTGTGCTTGTGAGAGCAGAACCTCTTACATAATCTCAGAGAAATGGATAGCACAAGCTGAAGGCTGACAGTTCATCAGTCCAGAAGCTGAGGATCGCGTTTCCAATTGCAGTTTAAGCAGCACAGAAGTTCTGAAGTGGTGTGGATCATGTTTTGTGCTCTATCAGGTCAAGGCCGCTTTTCCTCATGCAGTGATTTCTCTAACAGAAGCAGAATGTTGAAAATGTTACGCTGACAATGATAACTTAACAGGAGCTGTAGTTTAGAGAATCACTCTTATCCGATGTTCCATTGTGTGTGAGAGTTTGTGTTTTGAATGACCAGGAAGCTGTGCTCTCTTATGACCCAATCTGTTAGTCAAGCGGTGGGCAAACTGTCCTTGGAGGGGATGTTTAGATGGGACAAAGAGTAGAGCTACAGATTCCCTGGCATTTCCTGAGAAAAACATCTGGATCTGTGTGAAGTGGTTTAGAAAATATTTTCTAATGTTACATACGCTGCCATTCGCATGATCAGTAGTCTGAATACCTGCATATATTAAATTGCTTCTATAAAGCAGACATCTTGCTACCTTCAGGATTATTGTAAAGTCCCCCAGATCTGATGCTAATCTACTCCCAAGTAACATTTCATTCTCTAATTTAAATTATGTCTACCAGCTATCGTTGTATTTTAAAGAGGAAATTATATGATAGATACGCTATTTTATAACTGCCTTTGTAAGAGTGGCTTTTGATGCTTTAGAATGTGCCTGACCGCTTGGAGGAAATCATGGGAAGATCAATGCCACAGATAATTTTCTTCCTTCGAATATAAGTAGAAGCTAAGCAGAAGAAAAGGTGGCATTTAAGGAAAATGTCTTCGAATTTTACTGCATTCTCTACCATTCCCAGAAGCTTCTGTTCAAAGCTATCACAGCATTTTGGCTGTCACTTTTGCTGAATCTATTTACGTACATTTTTAGAGGTGAATTACTTGGCTCTTTGACATCTTTGTTCTCTGTTATGCTGCAGCGATCTGTTTGATTTGCAGTCAGATAAAAGAAAGCATTACAGCTTGAAAGTAACAGGTTTCAAAGCCTTTATTCACCCAGATGTGCCAGTAAAGGTGTTTCTATATTAATAAAATACAAGGCTATCAAATTAAGAGTGCAGCTTGTTAGAAGTGCTGGGAAAGAACCCCAGTTTAAATTAATTTTTAGAAGTATAAATTTGAAACTTATGAAAAGAATGAGGTGTGTCTGGCGAAGCTGGATAACAGAGAGATGAATTTCTAATGTGCTTAGCAGACTCAGCTGGAGTCATACTATCAAAAATCTGGCCCTGACCACACACACAAGAATTATTTTAAAATAATAGTAACATAAAGTCTGATTCTTATGTTGCCCTGTGTAGCCTCAGTGAAATAGCAGACATGCAAGTGGTCTGGAGATAAACCACAAAGAACCAGCCAAAGATATATCATTTCTTCAATATCATTTTACTAGTCTTTTTCACTGTTGGATAATGATGAAAGGGCAAAGCAAGCAGCATCCAAAGTCTATATTGCTGGCAAGAGTGTGCAATACAGCCAATAGAGGATTTACATTTTTATTTTATTTTCTTATTTGTAAATGATTCTGTCATCCCTCATCAAAAAACTAGCACATATGCCACTTATTGCCATCTTGTAGGGAAAGCTTATATAAAAGTCTAAAGCTCAGAGATTTAATGATTTAAATCTGCAATACCAGTGTTTCAATAGCCATGTGAGTTTAAGACTGATTTACAAAATGAGTAAACCTACCAGACTGATTTCAACAGAACCCAGTCTCAGTACAGTCCTCTTATTCCGGGAGTTTGTTCCCTATGTCGATGTCCAAAAAAATGTGTCATCTGGTATCCTTTCCCAAGGCCCTTACTTGCTACCATTTTCTGGTCAGGAAATGTTATTAAGAGAGAACTTTAGTTCTGGAACCTGTTCCTCTCTTTAGACCCAGGCAGCCCCAGTGTGTTTATGTCCAGATTACATTGCAAACCTTGCTGCTTACCCTCCCTTTTCAAAAGAAAGGGACAAGCAGGGTAACACGCACCATTCTGGTCGCAAACGCCTCATTCCTTACAATCATTCTGGAGTTTTTCACAGCTAGTCTATTAATTTGTTTTAGTTTAGAGAGCGAAGACTCGGAACTTAGGGTAAGCCATTTTGCAGTTTTAAATACAAACAAATATGAGTGAAAGAAAAGATAGGTTGCTTAGATCCTTTTTAAAAGTCCGCTCAGGAATGGCTGAAGAATGTTTGAGGAGAGGGAATAATAATAATAATAATAATAATAGGTAATACCTAGATGGAACAAGTAAGGGAGCTTAGCAGGGTTTGGCTGAATTTTCCAGAGGCTAATCTTCATGTCAACCAGTGTATATTAAATTTAAATTTTAAAAAAATACATTTTTAACTTAAATGAATTTAAATTAAATACATTTGAATCTTCAAATAACCACAAATAACTGCTGATTCCTTCCGGTAACTACAACTGATTCCAGCATTGATCATGTCTGCCTTTGCAAGTGCCACATTTGGGCGGTGTGGCAGCAATAGCTGCCTTAGTACAGATGTTATTTCTTGGAGCAGGCTAATGAACGTATGGTGGGGGTAAGGTTACCCACTTGTATCCTCAAGCCTAAAGTTTTAAGTTCTGTACTCTGCTGCCTTTGCAAATGGTCTAAGGAAATATTTATAAATTATGTCTCTTTTCAGAGTTAAAGAAGCAGAGGAAGTCTGCAGGCAGAAAAAGGGGAAATCACTTTACAATATAAGACCAAAACATGACTCTGGAATTGTAAGTAAAAAATATAATCATGCTCCTATTGTCATTAGTCTTTCTACTTTTTTCTCTTTGCATTTTATAGGTAGGTTATTCCTGATACACTCTTCTTAAAAAAATATTTGACATTTTCAAGAGAGGAGTTAAATTAAAACTCAAATGCTGCTTGTGAATGTCACCTGACAAAACAGAAGTGCATGAGCAAGAGAAGGGTATTCCACGAGCACATCTGCTGTATCAGGTCCTAGCATGGGATGCACCTAAACCGAAGAAAGCCTATTCCAGGCTTCAGGGTTATTCAGTCTGCAACTGTTCTGTTTACTAAAAGCTGCAAAATGTAGTAGATATTATGTGATAAGGACACTCAATCTGGGTGTTTTTCCTCTAACTTTTCTCCTGAAATCAGATACATATGTGTAATGGTAGTAGAGGATTAATACCAATCATTTCAACAAAAATGTTCCAGTATGATTGCCTAAACACTAGTAGAGTCATGATGTATTTTGCAATGGATGAATTTTCCTCTAGTGGAAAATGAATCTGGCACCTCACATTACAATTATATCTGTAGCAACTGACCATCAATTATTTTTGTCACATCTGAAAATGGAAGATTTTTTCATATTTTTTTCCCCCAGAAGCATGCTTCACTTCTTTTATGCTTTATATTCTTTGCTAAATTAATGTGACACGTCCTTGAAAGGAAGCAGGCTGTCACTGTCAGTAATTCAACTCGCATAATCTAACACAAGGAGAGAGAAGTGTTTTTTGTTGTTCTTCACTCTGAGTGTTTAGGGAGAAGTGGCTATGGTCAGTGACACGCGAATTGTACACAGGGTAACCATGTGGTTAGGAATGATAGATTTTATTTTATCAGTTTAATTTGTAGCCAGATCAAGATGATGTTAAGAAAAAGAATGCTGATTTAGATTTTTTTTTCCCCTTGCCTCTATCTCCCTACACATAAAGCCACTGATGGATTTTTTTTTTTAATACCTATAGACATAATTACTCGTGTATTACTACCATTTTCACTTGTACTGAAACTGGGACTTCCAGGTAGAGCTGAATATCAGGATCTCTGTTTGTTTACCACTGGAGGCATTCCTAGTGTTACTAAATACTTGATAAAACAAAAGGGAAAGTAAACAAAAATATTTCACAAGCACATTTTTTAGCTGCAGTCCATTTCAATTCTAGTTTCAAAGGGAATTTATTTGTGAAGTCAGCCCTAAGTCTGGATAATTGAATGCTGGCCTACATATTTCTGTGCTGTACAAATTTGTGGATTTGTGCCTTACAGATGTGCTTCTATCTATACTCAATCCTCTGCATGTCTTCTGTTTTTTCAGAAAGCGAAGATAAGTATGAAGATCTGAGAGAAGAGAAGCGAAAGCCGTTGCAACCTGCTTACCAAAACTCAACACGTCCCTGGGTGGGGGATGAGGGGGAAGGAAACTGCATCATCCTCATCATTGCTCGCTTGACCTTTCTGAATTTCTGTTTTGTTCGCTAGAGTTTTCCACCGAAGGATGTGTTATTGAACATTCATGAATGAATGTAATCACTTTAATGGAGTGCCCAGCAATAGACTAGGTATGGACTTGAAACACCTTCCCTGTACTGTATCTCCTTTGCCAGTCAAAAATAACATTTTGTAAAGTTTATGGTATATTACAAATAGGCCAAATCAGCATGCGTAAAACTCAGCATCTGCATCAGTTCTGAACATGCTGAAAATTGCATTAAGTTGAACTTCATAAGAATGCTACTTGATGCAGTAAAACATCTCCATTCCTACTGGCAACATCTGTCTAACACAAATACTTCATGGCACTGCACTTAGGTTAGGGGAAGAAATGTTACTCCTAGTGAATTGTTTGTATCCGTTTCATGTTGGCATTTGTAGCTTGTATTTTGAATCGTTAAGTGCTGTTTATACAGTATAATCAATGCTTTCCCAACTTGTTTGGTTGCCCTCCATGACTAAATATTTGTGGAACAAGATGTTTACCGTAACTATCTTTAAAATCGATAAGGCAGCATACTTTTACTTCATCTTTTGCCAGATAGTGAATGCCAGCTGGTATAGGGGTCAGAAATCCAACATAAAAAGAAATTCTAGGAAAATACAGAAAAGCACAGAAGTATTCTAGAGAGTATGAGAGAGGTTTGGCTATTATAGTTTGTTAATATATAAAGCAGTTAATACTTTTACATGAGCTTTAGAAGGTATAGTACAGTTTTTAACTCCTGATTATTTAAATCAGACAGTCTTTTGGCCATATGTACATGACTTCCCTTTTGGAGCTAGCTGTACTGTTAATTTAAAACTCCTTTAGAGATATATTTAAAAGATGCACATGGCAGTTGACATTTCTGGAAAACACTAGCCAATTCTAGTGACAGAACATAGACTACTAAGAAATCCGCATCTATTTCACACTTAACAGAATTGCAGATTTTTCCTCCAGGCTTTCACTGTTCTAGGAGGTTAACGATAGAACGAATTATAGAAATCTAGGACTTAGGGCTTCCACTTTAGACCATACGCTTAATTCCTATTTGCAAACCAGGGTTTACTGTATCAATCTTGATCTGCTCAACCAGTAGCACCACCTTCCTCCAGTCCCGATTAAGAAGCCCCAGCGCTACCCGCCCGATTGATAACGTTTTGCTTTCGAAGTGCACTTCCCCCAGAGCAGTCAGTGCGTCAGCTGAACTGGGTGCACGTGCTCACCCCTGTGGAGCCTTGAAGACACTGGCATAAAGCAGATGAGATCAACCTGCTGGGCTAGGTAGTTCTCTTTCTAATCTACTAGCACATCAGAAGATGCTCCTGGATGTCGAGAGGCTAACATGCTCTACAAGGTGTCGTAAGGGGAAGTGCAAATGACCTCAGGAATCTGTTGTTATTCACATATACCAAGCACTAGAAAAGATGGGGGGTTTTTCACTATGTGAAAAGCAAGTCTCCTGTTGCTTGACAGACCTTTGTGAAGTTCTGTACTCATAATTATTTCTGACAGGGATATAAATTACCAAGAAAGGAGTTCTAAAAATTTGTGTTGATGGGGAATAACATTGCTGTTTGGGGAAGTGAAAAGAAGAGATTATTTGCTGTTAAGACTAACTTATGGAAAAAAAAAACTTTAAAAAAATAAAGCTATTTTAATGGCACTGATTCAAATCCATGTTTGTATTTATGTAAACAATAGTCTTTTCCTTTTAACTTTGCTCTTAATTGAAAGGATACAGTAGCATGTTTTGGTTTGTAGCCTTCCTGTTCCCTTCAGTACCTACTGTATGTATATTACCATACTAAATGAAATAATAGGACATCTAACAAAGATCACTATGTGCAATATTGTATTTAGTGTTTCTATTTCAATTTTTTTAGAATGTTAATTTATATGAAAATAAAAGGAATAAATGAAATAGTTGCTTTCTCTCTTCACTGTCAGGCTATGCTGTGGTTGGCTACCATTTGCTGCCTAAAAACCACATCCCATTAAGCCTCTAGTGCTCAAGGTAAAACCACTGTGAGGGGATCCATCAAAATGAGGCTTCTCTCACCTTGCCCTTTAGAATGAAGACTAAGTCCTAGCTCTGTGGATACGTATTCCTTTCCCAGATGGTGGTAGGGGGGTACTTTAGGGTTCTTCTCTACCCTAGCAGGCTGCACGTTACTCATTTCTGTAGCTTGGACGAGCCTTCCAGTAGGGCAGTTGCTAATGTCTTAAGTAATTTGAGCTGGACTCTTCCTTTGCACCTTTGGAGCTGATTTGCTACACAACCTGTGTCTACTCTAACACTATCTACATAAATTCTAATTAAATTGCTGTTGGGACAAAAATATGCATGGAACTTATAATCTGCATATTATAATGATATAATTAGAGATTTTTAATCATTGGGTTGTCAAGCAACTTGGTCACTACACTTTCTATTGGGTCTGCAGAATGGATACTACTAGTGATTCGCAAATGTGTCTCCAAGAACAGTGTCAAAGGTTGGCTTCGGCTGGTGGTACCGTTAGGATTTTATCAGTCTGCCTTCCGCGCTCTCCTGTTTCATTTTCCTCAGACTCAATCCATTAAAAAGCCTCCATTAAATAGCTGCTCTTCAGCCTTTTCAGTTCTATGCAAAATTACGTAGTTTGTTATTTGCCGCACAGATGTTAACCCACCTCGCTCCCAGAGAGGAAGCACAGTGTGAGTTTCATTGACGATTTTTTATTTTGGGGATTTATTTTTGTTTTGTTGCTTTTTTAAGGGATAGAACACCCACTGAAGTCCCCTCTTCCTCCAGTCTCCTGCAGCACCAAGCATGCTATGCTTTTAGGGCAGGTCTTTGTCCTGCAAGAGCTGTAGTGGACAAAAATGTTGGGCTCTTGTTGACCATCAATACCATGTTTTGCTCATCACTTCTTGTAGTAGCTACATGAGGATTTTTATACCCGATCAGCAGGTGTGACTCATTGAGAATTCTGAGGCATCAGTCTCTTATGAAGAGCTAGAGAAAGATGATTTGTGTTGTCCAGCTTTTCAAATTAAAGCTTTTGGGAAGCATAGTATTTTAATTGTCACAGGTCACATGATATTTGGCATATGTTGGCTTTTTTTGGGGCACTTTTCATCATGCCAAAGATCTTCCCAAAAGCCAGTGTAGTATTAACCAAGAGTGGCAATGCAGTTACTAACATCATTGTCCCTGTCTGCTCTGATTTTTTGTCTCTAATTTTTTGGTGATCAACTTATAGTTGCTGATCAACATAGCTATTAATTTCACTGAGCAGAAAATACAGCAAGCAAGTCTTAGCGTTATAATTATTTTGTTGCCTATTCTAAATAAAAAAGCAGAGCTACTTTTATGCCAAGTTCTATATATCAGTTACTTAAAGCAATTTCAAGGTGCTACAAACAGAACATAGAGTTGATTTTTTCTGAAGATAAGGGGAACTGATCAGCAAAGGCAGAAGACAAAAAAAAACTCTCGATTAACATTCATCTCCACTTCCACTAACCCTCAATGGTAAGAGATTTAAGCTACAGAATAGGTGCTCCAAACCAGTCTGCTCCTTGCTCAGACTCATCTGTACCAGGGACTCATTCAGCCTAGTTGCAGAAGCATCCAAAGTCAAGCCCGTTGTCTCAAAAGCATAACATTTTTCTGTGCGCATTAGATTGCTCAGCAATATTTTCTCACATATTCCCAGCTAGAGTTCAATTTTATTCTGTTAAAAAGTGTGGGGAGAGAAGGGGCCTGCCAATCTGGCTATTCTGTCATGGTAGAAATTAGTATTTGCTGTGTTCCCTCCGTTTCCGTGTCCCACAGCATCACAGAGTACGCTGCAAGCTAGTCTAATAAATGCTGGATCCATCCGAGTAAAGCCTATTTCATCTCCCCAGAGACTTGCCTTGCTCTTGGATTGATTCCACGAAGGGGAGTTTATGGGATTACATCACATGCTTCTGGTGCTGATGGCAGTCAGGAGGCTGGGAAAGCCAGAGCTGCTGTCCTGGCTGTGTGTAGCACAAACGGCCAGGCCGAGGCCGGGCAATGTCACTACCTGCAACACGGGAGAGTCTCTCACGGAGGGGGCACATCAGAGAGGGCCACTGAGAGGGCAGCAGGTCTCTTCTGGAGCCAACCGAGAAATGTACTCACAAGGTGCACACCTAGATAATGCACAGGAGAGCAGTAATTCTCCAAACGGCTACTAAAAAAGGGGCTTCTTGCAAATGTCATTGATCGCTGTGTCAAGGGAGACACAAGCCTCCCTCGCTAGCTGTGGGCTGGATGCTCCCGCTGTTTTTAAGCTGCAGAAAAAGCATCTGTTCTGGTCACATGGAGAGTCGCACCTCAGAGAGGGAACTCACATGCCAGACTGAACTTTACCTTCAAAATTTCTTTTTAACTATCTTTTCTCAGGTTTGGTAAGAAATCAAAACAAAACAAACCACTGTAAGGTTTGAGAGCCATAGAGAGAACTTACTCAAGAGCTGATAGGAAGTGTCGGAATTCAACTACATATAAAAATTTGTTACATGAGGTGGCCGATCCCTGCCACATAACGATCTAGCGAAAACCACCTAAGTCTGGATAACGGCTATTTCTTTTACTGCAAGTGATGCCATCAGTTTAGATGCTGTTGGAGCTTCAACTGTTGTCTTGTCAGTTAACCAAAAAAAGCCAGGATTTGTGTGTAGTGGAGAGTCAAGCCCAAATTCTATGGTTAGCACAGCTTATTTCTTCCTTTTCTCCACCTTGGGGCTTGGCAGAGGAGGGTAGTTGTTAGGCTTTTCCAAGCTGTTGCAGTGAGCCATCATTTACCTGAGACTTGTAGAGCCAGAAGAAAGCTGAAAAAAACCATTGATTTGAGACTGGTTGGACACTGGGTGTTGAAGCAAAGCCCATACACCTGGATACCATATAACCCTAGGGTAGCTTTATTATTTATTCTATAATTTAATAGTAGACCTATAAAATAATTACATTATACTTAAAGCATTTCTTCATTTTTTGTTTTCATTTATAAAACAAGAATTAAATACAGTTTTAACCATTACAAGCTCAACTCGGTTTTTACATAAACACAGCTCCTAGAAGGAGCTTTAAGCTGCAGCATATTCATATTGCAAACTGGTGAGAGACCCAGGCAGGGCATAGCTTAAAGATTCTTGCACATCATTCCTAACTGAATTTACTAAGGTGTTTTTTCCCTCTCTAGGCCAAAATGCTGGTAGGGCCGGCTTTCAGTTCTCTTTCAAAGGGAGACCAAGATCCCTGGCATCTTAACAGATTGTAACTAACTACCACCACCTTCCCACCCTTCACAGGCTCCCAAGCTGGGACTGACCATTGCCCATCGAGTGGCAGCGGCCTTGGACGAGCGGTCCTTTCCGACTCGAAGATCACAGCAGAAAGCGCAGGCACAGGCGCCCACGCACCAGGGCTAACCTGGCCGACCTCATCCTGCCCATGCCAATCCCCGTAAACCGCTTGGGGGGCTCCACGGGGGCTCGGTGGGCAAAGCCTCTTAGAGGCGCCTGTGTGGCGCGGCGCGGCTGCCCGGCAAGCGCGTTAACCCGTTGGGCATTAACCCCGTGGGCAGAGGCTGCCACGGAGCGGCCCCCAGGGCCAGCTGCTTCCACGGGATGCAGGCGCCAAGTAAGGCGCGCACCAGGGAGTCAGCTCATCGTTTTTCATTTGTGTGCACGCATAATGTGCATAATGTAGCACGCGCGGGCTTTGGGCTGTGGGAAGGAGCTGGTTTGTTTTTAAACTAAGACTTTAATACAGCTGGTACTAATACAGATCAGAGCTGGAACAAACGGCATACGCAGACGTGCTAAACTCCACTAAGAGAGCAAAAACTCAGTACGAGTTTCAGTGAACTTCAAGTATCCACCATCACTGGTAAGTCAGAACTGACAGTTTCAGCAGACCACCGGTACCTGCAGCTTGGCCTCTCCCTGCACCTCCAGCTGTGACCCACTCCAGCAGTGCGCACCGGCGGTTTTGCCCTTTACCACTAACACATTACCTGGTTTCCAACCACTGCACGGGAGAGCTGCCGCTCCCAACACATCCGTGCATAAGGCAGCTTTTGCATTCAGTCCCACAAAGACCAAACTTTGTTTCTCGTGCTACAGTGCTTTAATACCTTAAGTGAAACATGGTTTCCTTAAGTGTTTTCAGCTCTTCTCTCACTTACCCCAGTCTGAGCAGGCATAAATACAAGGCAATAAATGCACATTGTCCTTTTTTTAGGATAAGAAACACACACACCATACCTAACACACAAAACCTACTGGTAAGCCAAGTTAAAACATATCCATTTTAAGCCAGGCGACTGACCTAGCTAGCAAGTCTCTTACTCAACACATTTTAATCTCTGGCATATTCCGCCACAATAAAAATATACATGGCTAGGCCTATAATACTTTAAACAGCTGTTTACTATAGCTAGGTTACAAAATAAACACTGCAGCAGAGACCATGTGTTTGATATATTCTAACCACAACAGCGTAAGAATCCATCGTCAGTCTGCGGATGTGATCCTGGTGGCTGACCTAACACTTCCCCCTCTTCCCGTCGGTTCTTATCTGCGGTTCAGACCAGCAGCCCAGAACAGTTTGTCGTTGCACAACCGGGGCTTGCTGAGGCTCCTCTTGCTCAGCAGGGCCTCGCGCTCCTTCAGCGCGTTGCTCCGGCCTCCTCTGTCCGCGCCGCCCCGCTCCGGGCAGGCCGCCCAGCACTTGGTCGTGAGAGCCCCGGACCGAATCACCAGCAAGGCCTTCTCTTCTCGTCGAGGGGACTGGAGTGTAGGGCAGAGGGCTTTACTCCACACAGTGGAAACATTTAATGCTGGATACAGCCAACTGGTCACTTGGATGATCAATCCCAACTTCTGGGAGCCTGCTCCATTCCGGAAGATTCAACCATCTGATGAAACTGAAAATGCAATGAAGCTTTATGGCAAAGTGCCTAACATAGCCCATTAGAAAGCTTTATTCCAGTAGGCAAGTGACAAGGAGCCTTTCCTTGGTGGAGATGCCTCCTGAAAGAAAGAAAGGAAAAAAGAAAAAAGAAAGAAAGGAAGAAAAAAACAAACCAACACGATAGACAGCGAGTCTGCTCAGTGGGAAAGGAGAGGCAGCAGTGAGTGTGATGAGGCCCACACCACGCAGTGGGTACCCGCTGCTCTCACAGTTTGCCTGAATTGTTGAGGTTCACAGACATGCAGCGGCACTGCTTCACCTTCTGGATCTTCTTGAGTCGGAAAGGGGGGTCCAGCTCCGGGCACTCCAGCTGCACGGTCGACGAGGTGACCTTATGTGGCTTGCAGAAGGCACACGACTGGAAGGATTCCTCCTCCTTTTTCACGTGCCGCGGTATGTAGAAGGAGTTACACTGCCCATAGCAAAAGCGGTTGATGATAGTGCGGCTTACGCAGCCCTCCTCGCTAACAGTCTGCCGCAGGGGCTGCGTCTTGCACCAGTCACTCTTCAGGTACTTCCTCTCGGTGACCACGAGGGCCTCCTGGCTGGAGGCCAGCACCTCCTTGTTGAGGTGCTGCCTCCGCTCCGAGTTGTTGCTGCTGCCCTCTTTGTAAGGGGACGGGATTGCTCCCGCTGGACGGTTTTTCCTGCTGTCTGATACTCTGACCACCGCTGCCATCAGGAAAACGGACAAGGCGAATTTCCCAACCATCCTGCAATGGCAGAAGAAGGAGCTGTTAGAAGGCACACGCATTTAAACCACAAAATTGTACTGAAGTTTAACTTCACACCTTCTTTTTGAAGAATGGAGATGTCACCACCTTTGTAATCCCAACACTTTTCCTAGGAGAAGAGCTATTTTCTAGAGGGATAATTCATCAGAAAGAAAGTCAGACCCCACTGAGAGTCACATCACCTCCCATCCAAGCCTTCCAACTATGCTTTTCCTCAACATGGGGAAACTGCTGCTTTCATGATTGAACCAGTTATTTTGCAGAAGTTTCAGTCAGAAAGGTTTTCCGGTTTTGTTTTATTTTTGTGAAATCCTGGGCCAAACAGATGGGCAAACTCCTGGCTAACTCTAACTAAGTCTCAGAAAACTCCTGCCCACACTGCGACAGCTGATTTGTGGATGGCTAGAGAGAACGGAAGGGAATAGCAGGTTACATAGGGTGAATCCTCACTTCCCTGCTTGGCCTTGGAACTCCTATCTAGTCTAGTTCCACACATAAGTAAGTACCAGAAGGTGTCCAAAACTGTATTTTTATTATTATAAATTGCTTCTGAAGTTTCTTAGGGTTTATGACACTTGCAGTTTTGCATTCGTTGTCTTTGTGGGAGGCTGAAATTTCGACAGATTTATTCCTGCAGTAAGAAATGCTTAAACACAACCTCAAAGACTTCATTACTACATGGCCTCTTAGGCAAATAATTTAAGAATTTTTTTAAACAGAACAAAATTCAATATTTAGTTTAGATGTGGCTTTCTTGCTAAGGAAGCGGTTAGAGCATAATTCAGCTCCTAAACTAAAATAGTCGGCCCTTTAGCAAAAATACTTTTTTTCTGTGGATGTCTAGTGGAATTCCTTCTCCTGTGGAACATCTCTTACCTGGATTTTCATCAACCACTTACCCAGTTTATATTAGTAATGTATGAAAATAGACTGCCAGGAGATCATCACAGAAATACTAGATTTATTTTACAATGGTCACCATGAACTGTCATAACTCAGATGAGAGGTTATTTTGTTCTTCCTGGGAAGGGAGAGAGGCCTCCCTCGAGGATGTTGAAAGAAAATGCACCCCAGAGCTTCCAGGCCAGTGGTAAGGACCCTTCAAATCTTTCTAAAAGTGCTCTACTCACTTTGAGGACTGCATTTTTAGTAATACTGTGAAGAGCCCCTTTCTTCCCAGGAAAGCTTCAAATGTTTCCTTCAAGCCTTTCTTCCATTCGAGTGATGCCAAGGTAAAAAACAGTCACACCAATAAACATTGGTACCCTACCTCTATAACTATAACATAAGTACTCCCAACATACCAATGAAAACATGCCATGGCATGCTTGGCGCTGAAGAAAAATGCCAAATGTTTTCCAAAGATCAAAAATGGAGACAGTGCAAGACAGAACTGCAATGGCAGTAACAAATACTTCTCATCTAACAAAGATAACTTAACACTTTGGAGGTAAACAGAAGTACTCGAGCCGACTAGGCGAGATAACAACTCTTTAAGTAAGTTAACTTTAAGTAAGTCTATGAGACCTCAAGGTCAGGCTTGGACTAGATTTCTAAGGGGAGAGGTTGGACGCACTGAAGGAAATGCTAATCTTAAAGCTGTGAGCAGATGGCTGATGAAGACTTAAATTCACCGGCTTCTGGGCTTGAAAAAGAATCACCTTTAGATATAAACAGCGTTTCTAAAACCCATACAAGCACAGATAACCCAGGAGCCCACTGACAAGCATTGTAGCCATGGGTACTTTAAATCAGTGGCCTATTTTCTCAGTGCTTAGCATTCGGTGCTCAAGTCCAAAGGTTTTGTCCAGAGTCTTTAACCGAAGCAAGACCAGACTTGGCTTTGTTCACAGGTATCATCGCCAAGACCATTGGATGTCAACCCACACAGACTGGCCAAAATCTAATCAGGTAATTAGTTTCAGTTGAATATAGTGTTCCATGCTTCCCTTCAAATTGTTCTCATATTATTCTGCACTGATGGCTGCATTTCAGTAGTAGATAAAATAACTGATCCCAAAATGCATGTGCTTTTATATATAAAAGGGAAGGAAAAAAAAACTTGAGTTATCAGTCTACAGCTAGAAACAGCAAGAGGATTGCTCCCCACTGGACGCCTGGGACCAGCCCTCCTCACACATACTCTTCTCCTTTCCTCTTTAATTGGAGCAATCCACCAGTGTAAGAGAGTGACAACTCTGCTGTCTCTTGTCCCTTTTCAGCCCAGACATCATCTCTCTGCTTTCATTTCTCTGATCTTGACAGAAAAGAGAGGCATATAGCTTCAGAGTCACATGAGGAGATGCCCTTTCCTTTACCCCTTTCTCTTTTTTGGGGGAGAGACTTATCACAACCACCCTTTCTCACCAAAAAATGCATAGCTTGAAGTTCAACTTTGCCGTGTTTCATGTCGAAGATAGGGTCAAGTAGAGATCATATGCTGGACTTGAGGGAAACTGGCAGAGCTAACAACAAAGTGTCTGTAATGTAGAAAAATATTATAGTAGCTTTATAATTACTGAAATAGTTTTACCTAGGCATGGAGAGCCATTTGATAGAATAAGTAGGATTTATTTAGTAAGTCTATGCTTATAATTAATAAAGCATTATTAATCAAAGCCACTATTGTAATGTTATAAATCAAACAGTGCGTGCACATATTAGCAAGTACTTGTGGAGTCAGATAGGAATGCGCCACCTCTTTCTCCCACATATCCCTATCAAACACGGACCAAAAGATGTTTACAGAGAATATATTGTTCTATTATAAACTAGCAGGTCAAATGTTGTGCATCCTATCAGGAAATTTCTAATGACAGGGTTGCCCCTCAGCAGCCTGCAAATCACCCCCTTCCAAGCCCTGGCATACAGACAAGCAAGTAAAGGGTGCAAACAAGGTCACTGGGTGCCAGCAACATGCCATGGACAACGTGTACTTGGGGTAATGAGATACAAAGAGAAAAGGAACTTTACTATTCTCACAGACCATTTTGGTAAACTCAGCCTGACTGCAAGGCAGCATGGTGAATGCTGTCTGTCTGCAAACAGAGCATGGGAACAAACTCAAAATGTATTTGAGAAGAATCTGGCTTCTGGCAGGAACAGGCCAGTTCTGCCCTACTTAGATAGCACAGAATAAGCCAGCATTTGGCTGAGACCAAACAAGTGAGAACTGCCCCAAGAAACAAAAACCTCTCAAACTTGCATCAGTGCCAGGGAGCCTCCCTCTGCCCAGTGTTCCCACTCCATGAGGGGCTCCCTGGGCAGATCCAATGGACGCTCCTGTGCAACCGTGACCGGCCTCTCCAGGAGCTACTGCCAGCTGCCAAGAGCTCCCCTGCATCCCTTTTTTCAGTGTGTGGGCTGGTGCAGGAAGCACCCTTACACTAGGCACCACATAAGGCTTAGCTGCACTGACATTCTGCATGCTCAGTTTTTATCTCTGAGATAAGGAAACCAGTATCAAGGATGACTTCATAAACTCATCAAACTTGTCACATTCGGGTTGGACTACTGGGTATCCTGGAGTGTAAAATCCATGGTCAAGGAAGCAGGCATGCCAAGATCCAGCTCTTTAATGCAGAGAGGTCAGGGCACTGAGCCAGGAGGGGGAAGACCTAGGCCTGCTGTATCTGCCCTTAGCTTTATTTCTTGTTTGTATCCAATTACCGTATAACATAAAATATCTACCAAGTCAGGCTCCCTCTTACATACTGACCTTCTGGCCCTATAACTCATGCATTCTTGAAAGCAATCCAGCTCCAGAGCGGGACAGGCAGTGTAACCCCATAAATAGCCTATAGCTTTGTGGTTAGGGATTTGGGAGCAATGGATTTGACTTCAGATATTAAGACCATCATTTTTGGAGAAGTCCTCCAACACAGAACTGAAGAACAGGGAAGGAGTTAACAGGAGTATCCATCTATGCTGACTGTTTCACTCTTTACTTTTTAGGAAGAAAAAAAAATGACAAGCTTTTAAACTTAGGATGTGGTTTCTGACTTCTGACTATGAATGCCAGTTTCATAGGTCAACCTACTTTAGGATTACAGGTTGACAGAAAAACAGAGGAATGAACAAGAAATATGGCAGTGGTATTATGTTAGCTGCTCAGGAAATCAGCAAGTATGAACTCCATTTGTTTATGTTAGCATTTAACACCTACAAAGCACTCAGCATTATCTGCATTCCTGGAAACATCTAAATTTCTGATACAGTTTTGACACATAATCTTACACTTACATCTCTCGTTTTTGAAACGATCTCGAATGGTGTCAGGAAAATGCCGCAGAGTGGTTCAAAGAAAAAAAATATGCAAAACCTGCCCTACTGTGGAACTCAATAACTTACTTTTTTAGTTTACTACATACTAGAAGAAGATTTAGCACTACAACCTGTCGTGTGACAATCAAAAGTCTTCTGTCAGTAAGAGCCATTGGATGGGAATGTGAAAAACACAAGGTCAGACAAATGAAAATTAAAAAAAAAAAAAGAATTAAATTTACCATTGGAAGAGTTTGCCTTGGAAAATTATGGTTTCTCTTCAATTATTGATTAAAGACATGCATTAGAGGCTCGATTAAAATAGATATAGTAGATATAGTTTTGTGGCATGGTATTCACACCATCACCTTTGACCATGTGCATTGTTCTTTTCAGTTTTCATCCTGCAAACTGCGGACACTGGCGCTTTCCTCTGGGATCGGCTGACCATGGGCATCTCTGACAACCAACATGCTTTCTATTCCCAGCTTCCTTTCATATTAAAACAAGTCAAAAATAATTTATATTAAAAAAGGCCTATGAATAGTAAAGTAAGGACATGGTGTACATGGTCAGTTCTCAGTATTTAAGATGGGACACAAGAAGTGTTCCTTGAAGACAAGCCAGGCAGTAACTTTTCAAAGAGCTAAAACTTGGCTTGACGAACATATGTGGGAAGCCAGGAAATATCAGATTCTCTACCAAGAAGCCAAAAA